GATTGCCGGGGCTGGGGCTAGGACTAGGACCAGCGGTGCGGGGGCGGGCGGGGAAGGTTAGAGCCGCCGGGGCCGGGGCTAGCGCTCCAGGAAGAGCCTCCAGCGCCGCTGAGACTTTCTCTCTCTCTCTTTTTTTTTTTTTTTTCTTTTTTTTTTGAAAAGGGGAAGGGAGGGAAAGCAGGCAGGCAACTCCAAAAGCAAATATAGCCTTGCCCTGCGCTAGGTCTCCGACCCCTCTCCCAGGGGTAACTGTGAGCCTCCAGTTGCTCCCCTTTAAAAGGGAAGCGGGAAATCCATCCAACCCCGTATCTCCCCTCCCTCCCTCTTTCCCTCTCCCCCTCCCTCCCTTTTTCCCTCCCCCCCCCACCTTCTGGAATTTCCAAGCCGGGACTAACTCTTCAGATTCTCCTATCTCCCCTGCTGCTTTTTTCCTCCCCTTTTCTCTTCCTAACACCCCCATCCCAAATTCTAAGCTGCAAGTTCTGGAAGACATTAGCCACATTTCAAGACTCTTTTTAAAAGAAGATGGGGAACGAACACGCCTTAATTTAAATTTTAACAGCTGGGAAAATGTCCAGTTCTTCAAATGCCTTTGGTTCATATATTAATTCTAACAACCCCATCAACACCACCACTACCACCACCACCACGCCACACACAAAAATCAACAGATCTAACCAATAAGTAACTCTTCACAAAACCTTTAAACTTCAACAAACAGCACTTGCTGTTCCCCACTTCTCACTCAACTAAATCAGACTTGAATTTTTAAATGTTTTAAAATTGTAAACTCACTCGAGTATCCCAATAGTATCTTTGTCAACTGGCTGCTATACATTATAGTATAAATACACTCTTAAAAAGTAAGCCTTAAAAGTACCCACACACATAGATTAAAATGATACATATTAAGGTAATTTTAAAAGATTACAAGAGCAGAACCTTTGAATCAAGATTCTTCCAACTGCTAAGTCATGTATTTCATCTCTGAAACATAATTAAGAAATTTTTTCCACCAAAAGTTGTGCCATTAAAACTTTACCTTTTGAACAGTTAACAATACTTTGAATAAATTAGTAATGGGAACTGCAATTCTTCCCCTTCTTTACTAAAAAGTTCTCCATCTGAGAAACCATTAGGGTTAAATTTCACTTTAATTTGGGTCAGAAAATAAGGGGTTCTGGAAACCTACAGTTAGTTTTTCCAAGGGACAGTCAGCTAACACTGTCCTTAGGAAAGTTTCATCTTGAAATACTGACCACCCAAATGAGAATAGCTAAGGAGTTCTACCAGCAGTGAAGGAAACATAATTTATGAATTTGTGAAGTTAGATGGAAATTAAAATAGGTAAAGAACATACCCCAGTTTCCACCTTTCCTCCAAACAGCGCACAAAAACTTTAGATTCAACCATTTTTTTCACTTATGTAAAGCAAAAAACAAAAAATTCTAACCTAATATTAATAAGAAAATATTTTTAAAGGGGTAATCAATTATTTCTACTTCAAGCTTTCTTGAATCCTAGTCACATGTATCTTTTAACTTGCATGGGTTAAAAACTTTCTTTTGTATTTGGATACTAATCCATAATTACAACCATTAAAGTAAAAAGTGCCTGAAAACCCTCCCACTCTAGTAGTTTTCATTCCTTTGTTTTTTAACCCCTCTTTATTCATTTTCAGCCCCAAAGTACAAGGTGGGTTGTTTTTTTTCCTTAAGTGCAAATCCATTTCTGAAGGCAATTTTTAGGTTGTTTGGAAAACATTTAGTGATCCAATGATTTCTTCAGTCCCTCAATAAATCATTTTGTCAAAATAAATTTAAAATATTTTGCCATTTATAAGACATCCTTCACAGATTTTTAAAGCTGCTAACTTCAAAAAATTAAACTGTAAAACTAGGAATCAAGGTGCAACACTTTCTTTTGAGAGTTCTCAATTTTATGAATGGCTTATAAAACTATTGTTGTTTAATAGGTGGAAATTTAAGGGAAAGTTAGCCCACCTCATTTTAAGTCAACCTAGAGGAAAGGACCATTCATCTGCCTAAAGAAATCTTCAAACTTAGAATTCTTTAATGTGAACACATTTCACCTTAAAAAAAAAAATTCAGTGCCTCTCTTTCATTTCATTGTTTTCTTAATTAACAGTTAACACCTTTTATTTTGAGGACACCAGTTGACAGTGAATATGCTATCTTTAGGTCACATTCTTCTAGAAAAAGACACACCAAAGTGGCAAGTGTAACAAAGGTTTAATTCCCTTAAAAAGCAAATCATGTCTCAAAAGTAATCAAGTCACACTAAAATGGTACCCCTTTACCTCAACTACTCCTAAGTCTCAGAATAAAACATACACAAGCCCTTTCAACAACTGTTTTTATTGCATTTGGTTTTTTTCTTTTGTCCCAGTATCTGACAGTGAACATATATAAATTCTCAACAGAAAAGCACAAATTGTTAACCAAATTCCAACACTAAGAGGGGGTTTGAGAAGGTGATCTCTGAGAATTTAATACCACCTCATTTAAAAAATTCAAGCTAATTGCTGTTTTCAATTCAAATGCACAGTGTTTAGTCTCGAGTCCTTAAAAAGGTACAAATTATGTTTTTCAAATAGATTCAAAGTGAGAACAAAATACATTAAGAAGTACTGCTATAGCATCTTTTGATTCCCCCTCTTAAAAAAAATTTAGTTTTTGGGTTTTATAAATTATCTTAGAAATTGAAATCATAATTCATTTGCAACTGAATGTCTCAAGAAAAGTTCATAAGGAACATACAAGAATATATGTATACAAAATATCATTTGTGTAGTTGTTCATTTTACTTAGAATGTGTTACTCATAATTAACTAGTTCCTGTTCTATACATCCATGAAATGACTGAAAAAGTCAGTAACAAACCTAACTGACGAAATACTTTTCAGATACAGACTAAAGACACATACCACAACATACTTCCTCAAAGACACAAAATGATAGAGCAAACTGACTTAATGAAAACAAACTCTTTTTTAAATCCTGAGACTTCAAAAATTGATTCATTCTAGAAAAATGAAATGCCTTCTCACCACCACCCAAAATAAAAAGCAAAGAAAACACAATTGACTCAATGTTTAGGCTAAAAAAATTATTTCAGGAAGGGGGAGAACACACAAAAGATCTAATTTAATATGGGTGTGGACAGATTTTTTTTTTAACCCAGTCTTCTCACAAACCCCCTCTCAAAACTCAAAAAAACAGCCCTCAGTAATGCATTTTGGAGGGAACAAGAAGGAGCCTAGAAATGGCTTAAAAGCCAGCAGATGGCTTGGGGAAAAAGATCTCATAAATACAGGGCACCATGAAAATTAAAATATAAATGTTTTGAGTTCCATTTCATCACGTTTTGCTATTTCTCTTGCCTTTCATTTTATTCTCTAAAATTTAAACTATCCTCAAGAGCAAAAGAAAAAAATCCATATATTTTATAATTCTACTTATTCTGGATATTTTTCACCAACACTCAGCTTTCAGTTCAAATATTCATATCCTTCTCAATAAACCTGCTAGTGTCAGTGTATGTTCCTTAGTCACATCTCCAAAAAATGTTTTAAAATAACAAATTAAGACTTATTTTCTTCCTTCCCATTTTATTGCCACTTTACTCCTAACTCTAATTGCCTTTCCAATAACACGGTATTTCAAGCATTTGAGGTTAAATCACAAGCTCTATAAACATAGTAACAAGCTATATTGATCTATAGACACAATAGTTCCAAGTTACTTAAGTATCAAGCTAAGCCACTAAATAGGTCATTTCACATGAACTTTCTAGACCCTCTCAACAGTCCCCCCAAAAAAGCAGCCGCCCCCCACCTACCCACCCGGAAAAGGCCAGAGAGACTATTCTGAAATGCACCAAGTTTTCAGCTGAAATGGGGGGTGAGGAGGATCAAAGATTTACTGGGGGCTGCTTTCCAACTAGGGACATGAAAGCAAACTCTACACTGTCAACATGTTTAAAGTCTGATTTGAGAAAGTAGAAAGGCTGCCCGCATACTTGCCAGCCAGAGTTCAAGGAAAGATTTCAAAGTTCAATGGAAGATTTGAAATCCACCATGAATTCTCAGTAAACATGATGGAGGTACCCCATTTTGCTGGAGAGAGAGGATAGAGGATATAGGGTATTGGAACACACACACACACACACACCCCATTAACACACACACACCCCATTCATCCACGGAGTTCACACACACACACACCATTCATCCACGGAGTTCTAGACCCTCCAAAGAGCCCCAGCTCACAGCCTCAACACAAAGCTCTCACCCCAGATGGTCCCCTTGTAACAATGGGCTGAAGGAGTGGGGGTAGGGGGGCTCGAAAAGGATAGTACAGCCAAGGCATATTCTTTGGAAAATCCAGTCAAGGAGGAGGATGATGTGAGATGTGAGGGATTGGGGATGGGGGGGCGGTCCATGGGAAATAAAAGTCTTTGCCTGTTACAGAAATATAAATAAACTACAAGCAAAAGGGGATTTTTGGGGGGCCAGGAAACTCATTCCACTCCGATTAGGGAGTAGAAGGGCAATCTACTTAAGAATTATGGTGTGGAAAGAGTGAGAAAAACAGAAAATGAGGCCTGCTACGAAGTTGCAGAAATCGCCATGAGTCTGAACTCTTCAAAGATTTCAAGGTTCCCCACAAAAAAACGGCCCCACAGCTTAAACTCCACAAGGTTTCTCCCCTATTTATTTTCTTTCCCCTTTAATTCTACAACTAACATCTTTTAGGCCACCCCAGCCCCAACTTTTTTTTTTTTTTTTTTTTTTTTACAAGCTGTAAACCACCCATTACAAGATCTTGGCCAATCTTCCCTCCCTGCCCCCAACATCCGGAGTTGGGGGTGGGAAGACCAGTAATGGGTTTCTTCCACTGGAGACGCTATGGACCCCTCAACACAGCCTCTCAGTACACCCCCGCGCCCCCCAACCCGAGAAAAGAGCTCTTTCCTACCTTTGTTTTTTGGGCACCGAATGTTCAATCTCTAGGCGTTTTCCTTGTAATTCTACTTTCCCTAAAAATAAAAAAATAAAAAATTACTATAAGTGTGAACAGGGGTTAGGGGTGAGAAGAGGAAGGGGAAAGACACCAGGGTAATTCAGGAGTTACTGGGATTTCGAGATCTTCCTAGGAATCCAAGCAGTGGCTTCCATAGCAGGATGGGAAAAAGGCTGCTCTACGAATGGTGGAATCTATAAATTCGTTATTATTCATTTTGAAATTTTTGTTTTGTGTAATCACTGAGGCTTGTGGAGTGGGTCGCTCTGGAAGCCCGATTTGGTAAAGGTGCGAGTCTATTTGGGTGGCTGCGCTGCCTATAGAGTTCCCAGATGTGGGGAGAAGGAGCCTGGAGAGAAAGGGCTCCCCATTCCTCAGAAAGTGGGGCGGGGGGCGGAGGCGTTGTGTAGAACTAAACTTTATTTTTCTCTGTTGCCAGGAAGAAAGGCTTCGGGCCGCGGAGAGGTCACCTGTCGGGGCTGGTTTGGGAAGGGGTGGACCTGGGGGAGCAGAGCCTGGCCGGGCGGGGAGGGTCCCTCGCGGCCGCGGCGCGCGCCTCTCGGCCCAGCCTCGGCGTCTCGGGAAGCAGCATGGCGACCCGGCGCCGCCGCCGCCGCCGCGCCACCCCGCTCACGCCCCACTTTCAAATCAAAATGGCTCAAGCCCCAGGCCCTGGGCGAGAGGCGGGACCCCCTTCCTTGCAAGTCCTACTGGAGGGCTGCATTCCCCACGCGAAGCGGCTAGATCGCCCGCGGTGCGGGGACCCCTTCTACGCCTGGAAAGGCCTAAGACTGAGGAAGGGGAGCCAGGGTTTTCCAGCTGGGGGGCCGTCCACTGGCGGATAGGGAGGGGCTGGACGTGGAAATAACGCCAAGCCGAGGTCATCTTCATGTCCCTAAACTCACCCCCCACTACTGCCATTGGGGGCTCCCGCCCCGTCGGTAGGGAGAAGGGATGGGGGAAGCCAGAGCTTCTTATCTTAGACTGGGAGGAAATCCCGAATGTTTCTGCGCGGGGGTTGGGGGGGATACAGAGCGAGGGAGGGGGCATCGAAGGGGGTAGGTCGAGGGTGGGTACGGAGGCCAAGCCCCGCAGGCCCGGGAAAAGAGGAGTTGGCGGGAGAGGAACCGGAAGGTGCGGGTCTCCGTTGTTCGGGGCTCCCGTTGTGGCTTTTCCGGGAGATGGCTGTGCTCTTACCGGAGAAAGTTTCGATGGCCTTCATCGCCCAGTGCTCGTCCGGGCAGTCCACGAAGGCGTAGCCGGATTTGACCAAGAACTGGCCGCTGTAGGAGATCTTGTGCTCCGCAAATACTTTCTCCAAGTCTGCGGGGGTCACGCTCTCGTTGAGGTTGCCAATGTAAAGCTTGTTCATGGTGGCGGTCTCGGGGCAGGACACAGTCCTGGGCAAGGCCGAACGAGCGGGCGCGGGCGGCGAGCCTCCTAGGCCAAGAAGCGGAGAGGCCGGCGGCAGGAGCCGCAAACTTTCTTTGCACCCCACCCCAGAAGTTGTCCGGAGCCCAGGGCGGGGAAGGCGGCCTGAGGGCGCGCAGAGGTCGCGAGAGAGTTCGGGGAGTCCAGGAGAAGTGCCAGCGGCGCGCAGGGAGACGGACGACGCGGCGCGGCTCCTTCCCTTCGGTCCGAAACCCCTCCGAGAGGGCTGGTGTGTCACGTTTCTCCGCGGCCGCCCCGGCGCCGCCTCTAAATAAAATCGACTTGAAAAAAAAATGGAGCGGAAAAAAAAAAAAAAAAAAAGGAGAAGCCACGTGGTGACAGCCCCCACCCACCCTGTAGGGGAAGACCCCCGACGCCACAGGGCCCCTGGGCCCTCCGGCCAAACCCAATAATCTCGCGCCTGAGGGTGGGTAACTCAACTCACCCCCGGGGTAAACTAGGACGGTGGGGCAGCGTCCCCGAAGCTCTACTCGCCCCTTCCCCCTTTGCAAGAACCTGGCCTCTAGGGAAGCGCCCCGCCCCCACCCATCCCCCTACCCCTGCCCGAACTGGGGGAGGATGGTCCAGCCCAGATTTCCTAAGTCTTAAAGGGTAAAATGTACGATTATTTTTTATTCGTTTTGCCGGGCGGAGTTGCTCACCCCACCCCGGTTAACTGCTAGCGACTGACAAGCAAGGGACGGCCGAGATAGACAAAGAGAAGCCGAAGACTCTGGGGTCTTCAGGAGAGGGTCGCACGAGCTGGTGATTTAAAAAGAAAGGCACCTTTTCCCTAGATGTTTAGATGGGGGGGGGTCTCCAATTTCCCACCCCAGCCCCTTGGAACTCCCCCGCCTCCGGGGATGCAGGACCGGGGGACCCTGCAAGCGCGAGACCGAGTAGCTGGGAACACGGGGGATCCTAGTTGAGAACGAGGAAGCCGCAGGAAATCATGTTTCGAGATCCCCACGGGAGAAAGGGTAGTTCGCACCCGGGGTCCGGCTGTTAAATGATAACGTTTCGGGGTCCTAGGGGGAACGCGCGGAACTGGCCGGAGATGACCCAAGGAGAGGGGGACGGTGGGAGAGAAGGAAGAGGGGTGGTAGCTGGAGCTAACCCGAGCGAACCGAAGGGGGAGGTCTTAGGGAGGGAGTGACCGGGTGGAGATTTGAATGGTCCCCTTTTCCCTCCCTGAGTCGGGGCAGACAGGTGGAGCTTCCAGCGTCCGCACCACCCGGACACCTCCGGCAGCTCTCTAAGGCCCTAGGTTCGGGTCGCCTAACTTTGTTTGGGGTGCAGGACTCCGTTCCCGGCGGGAAGGCGGGAGAGGGACGGAGGGCGGGGGGCTAAGCGCTAAGCCCCGCCCACGTCCCCAGGTCAGACCCGCGGGGGGAGGGGGTAATTTCCGCTCCGTTCTCGGGGAAGAGAGGGGCGGGAGCTTAGGGGAGGGGGCGGCAGCCCCTCCCCCCTCCCTCCGTTCCTGGGGAGGGGGAAGCGGATCCGCCCGGGTCCCTTCCCTCGGCTTTGACCAACTCATTCCGGATCCTCTGACTCCAGGAGCCCGAGGGAAGGACCGGACTGGGCTAGGGGCGACACGTGGGCGGTCGCACCCCATCTGGGCGGTGGGGGAGGGGGCGGCTAGCCGCGCGTTTCGGAGTCCCGGATACGCGGCTGAGAGCGGGACGCGCGGTCCACGCGCAAGCCCTGGCTCCACGGCTGAGCGCCGAGCGAGGCCAACGAGTTTCTAGCGGCGGGGGCTGGGATGGCGCCAGGGGTGGCGGAGAGCGCGGCCGGGAGACTATGGAACCCCCTCGCCTAGGGAACGGGGAAAAGCGAGGGTCGACCCCCAGAAATTCTGGAGTCCCCGTGATCAGGGCGGAAACTGGGTTATTACTCTGGACTCTGCAGGAGGGAGGATAATTCTGTCGGGGGTACGCGTGCTGGGAGGGCAGGTGAGGAAGGGGGTCACTCCCCTTCCCCAGTCCCCGACCCCATTGTCTCAGTCGCCTGCGGCCCGGGCCGACTCGGCAACACGTGTTGACTACACCGATATGAATGCCTTGAATTTTTTTTATTGTTACTATTTTTCGTTTGCAGAGTCAGAGCTGACTCCGACTTCGGCTCAACGCTCTGCTACTGGATGATTGTATGCCGTTCAAAAAGTCGGGAGTTGAAAGACAGCACGCAGCACCTTTGTCCCCCTCCCCGTTTTCCCGGCGCGCTGAAAAGAAATAGGATTGGGACTTGGGGGCGGGGGAGGGCTTCCAACTCGCTTTCTCTATCTCCTCCAGCACCTTAGAGCCCACCCTCCCCAATGAGCGTTTTGTTCTACCCAGCCACGTGTTTTTCGGATTTTTGATTTTGAGATTTTTTTTCCCCCATGGAACAACAGAAATTAAAATACTATAAGCTATTTGTTACTGAGTAGAAAAAGAATATTTTCTGTCCAAGAAGATGGGAGACATCTGTGTCTCACCCACACACACACACCTCTGACCCTCCCCCCTTATCTGACTCTTAATAGTTAGCTCTTGATCACAAGCATTATTTTAAAACAAACCAATGAGCTGGAAACAGTGCATGCCGCATAGTAGGCACTCAATAAACATTTTTTAAATGAAAAACAATCTAAAACAAACAGTACCACAAAGAGAATTCATGAAAATTCGAGTCCAGAGGGAAAAAAATTATCTTGGCCAGAATGTGTGGCTCTGTTGCCCGGGAACTTTTCTTGGTGATGTGTGTGTGGACTTTTGAAAGGGCTAAAAGATGGTCTCCAAAAGGCTGTTGTGTTTCTTGGCCTTTTTCTAAAGAGGAGCCCCAATCTCCTTAAATCTTTTCTGTTATATTGGGGAACAAGGAGGAAGGCAACGCAGTTCCTAGAAACTTTAAGTGCTGTTTCCTTCATTTAATTTGAATCTTTAGGTGATAATAAAAGTACTTCTTAGATTTTCTCCCTGGGGGACATATCCAACACCCCATCTCTGTGTGCTTAAAACAAAAGCAAGTTACACCCCACAAAAATCTCCATCCAGACCTCTTAAACTCCTGTAAAATGCAATCAACTTTTTACCATCCTAAATTCAATGGGAAACAATTTTTTTAATAATCATTGAATTCAGCTCACCTTTAGGTTGATTGTTTTTCCATGTAAAAATCACCAACACTAGCTAAGTGTTAGCTGACTCAGTTTAAGGGTATTTAAGATAATATTAGAAGAGAAAATATAAGTTGACGAACAATATGCTATTTGAAAATCCTTTTAAATTAGGTAATTAAAAATTACCAATGACTGCTAAATTGAAACTGATTAGTTCTTTTTTAAAAAATCAGCTGTTTTACTTAATTCTACTCCTCTCCACCCCCCCAAAAAGGGCTGATGTGTGTATAGTTAGAAGCTGCAAAGGCTGCAAGAATACGAGAGGAGACAACAGGGGTGAGATACAGATCTTTTTAGCCCCCAAATCAGTTTTGCCTCAGTGACCTGGCCATTTCAGGCTGGGGTTGGGGGAACTAAATCATGTTGATTGGTGTTTCATCTCTCCCTTCTGAATGAGCCCAGCACTCAAATTAACCTGAAAGAAGGGTTATTTCTCGTCTAGATTGACATTCCTAGGTTAGGGATAAAAATGGGCATACTTGAGGTACCATAACTTTTCATATTTCTTTTCTTTGTTTTTGTTAATATTAAAGACTACTATCAAACATTGTATTTATTTTCAATTTTTTTTCTACATTGCTTCTTTGAGACATAAATACTCAGTGCAGAGTTACATTTAACTTGTGTAAGAGTTAAAAATACAGCTACCAAGATTAAATGTTCTTTTTCTCTTTAATAATTGTTCTTATCCTTTATAATGCATATCCTATATAATATATACTGTATATTCTATATGGTAATATTACTACTGTTATATTTTCACTTCTTGTTCTTCTCTTCCTCCTCTTCCTTCTTTATTTTTTCTGGAGAACAGTTTGGTCTAGTTATGGAATTTAATTATCTGAATTCAGAAACACTGACATTTGACTCCATTTTAAAGATAGGATTCTAATCCATTTTCCTCCAGTGTGAACATAGAAAAACATGCAGAGAGGAAAAAAAAGTTTGAGAGAATAAAACAACTTTTTTAAAGATTGAAAAATAAAAGAATATTTTTTTTGGAGAAATAAGCCAAGTTAAAAAAGGAGAAACAAAAAGGAAAGAAAAAAATTTTAAAGAATGAAAAAATAGAAGAATAAAAAATCAATAATTTCATCATTGTCATAGAAAATGAACTTTTAAATGTTTATTTTTCAGCATTTGTTCATTTATACTAGTTTCAAATTTTGTCATTGTTATATCTTAATGTTTTACTTGTTTTTGTACCATAAGTATTTTCCCAGGCTGCCTTCAAGTTTTCCTAACTATCAATTCAGTACAGTTATATATGTAATCATTAATCATGATATTTAGATATATGTTACATCAAATTTTTTACTTTTGTAAACAGTGCTGAATAGATATTTTAGGGAATATAACTTTTTCCTTTTTTGGATTAGCTCCTTTGGATAAATCCCCAGAATATATATTGCATTTTATATCTAACACTTACTGACTTTTCTATTTTTAAAGTTCAGCATGTTTTACAGAAGAAAGAACAAACAAATGGAAAGCAGCTAGGAGAGAAATACATTAAAATATAATTTTTTAATTTTCTGATTAATCAATCGATTTTGGAATAAAATTATGGTTGTTACAAAATACAGAAAAAGAAAAGCTCACATTTTCTGATATATTGGTGCTTTTTTAGAGGAATTTGTTTTTTGTTTGGTGGGATTTTATTTTATTTATTTTTGGTTTTGCTTGCTTGTTTTTTTTTTTTTTTTTTTTTACTGTTACCACTTTGGGATGTTTTGTTTCTTCCTGCAACTTAAAGTCTTAGTGTGGTTCTTTTAAATGCCTATAAACTTTGAGAAAGTGTAAATTAGTTCCAGTTTAAAAGCACATGCAGCTTTTTCTCCTGTCAAATAAATAAGGATAAGTATGTGTTTAGGATATCTCATAAAATGTAAGCAAACTGTAAGCAGAAAAGGAAATTTTCCTGCTTCAAATTATCATTCATTCAAAAGTGTTCAGTGTTTAAGACCTGAGAAAGCAATGTATGTATTCCAGAGACAGAAGAGGCTCAAGGGGAAGAAAGAACTGAAGGACAACCATTTGTTTTTCTGTGGGTTACACAGTGTATTTGACAAAACCTCTCAATTTTTTGTTTTGGTTCAGGTTTGCAATGTAAAAACTTTTAGGTAAGGAGGGAATCATTTATTTTATTAACTTTAAAAAGAGATGTTTTCAAATTCATTTTGTTAGTAAGTTAAACTACTCCACCCAGCCCCTATTAACACATGGAAAAGAAATGGTCAATAACATCTTTTATATTACATTCTTACCACCCTTTTGCAATTTTTTTTACTCCAGAGTCATTTGAGTAAAAGATAATGCACAAT